GTGGGTCAGAGGTTCCCGATGCCTGTTATAGGGGGGAATGGGCACAATTTAAAGGCAAATGCTTTGTGCAAATGCAAATGCTTTGTGCATTTTTTATTATTATTCACAAAAATAATGGGGTGGATCAGACTCATGATGGAGTGAATGCAAAACGGACATGGAAGGGAAATGGGCCGATATGCCTGTTCCTAATTTTACAATTCTAGGAAGCCATGTAAGACTAACAGCTCCGAACATCAGCTGAATTTCACATTAGGTCACTTATCTGGAACATTATCCCCGCCATTCTTCATTTGGGGAGAGTCATCAGCTATAAAGGAAACCCTTAATCAAGAGGTCTATATAAACACGGAGGACCCAGTGAACGCCTTTCTCTGTACATTACAGAGCTATTTATCTTCCAAAGTTACCAAGTTGCATAGCAACCATTGTGTTAAAGGGTTGCCAACTCGGAGCACCCCGTTCTTTAACAAAAAGGTTTCTTGTGTGTTTATTTGACAACCCCAGGCTCCGACGGGGTAGGTTTCTCACCGGTACAGGGGAACTGACATTTATAATGACTCTGAAAACAATTTAATTTCAGTCTCCATAAAACAAAATGAGACGCCGTGTTTAAACAGTGGTTTTTCCTCTTCTTTAATAGATCTATCTGAAACTGTCAGCAGGGTGGACAGGATTCATTTTTCCTACTTTATATGTCTACTTTAAATGCTGTAGTGGAATGTCTGGGAGAAACATAACCATATATGGCAAGCAGGGCGATTCAGGTTGACCAGCTGTCGAGTGTCTATAAAGCACATTATGGTGGTCTTATAATTTTAGGAGAGTGTAGGGATTAAAGTTTAGGATAATTTCAAATTAGGTGCCACAAGTTTGATCACGAAGCTCCTGCGAAACTTCCTTACCGCTTTATCCGGTCCATCAAGCTTTGCGATCATCCACTGGTCTTAACGGTGCAATCCAAACAAAGGAGATTATGGTTTAGCAGGAGCTTTCATAGATCCAGTGCTATTTTTCTAGGGGGAAAGGGGGTACCAGAACTCACCATGAATGCCTGCCTTGTTCTCTTATAATGGCAATGGCATCCACCTGAGAAGTGCCAGAACTGAGTTCTGGCAAGTTCTGGCTGGAAAAAAAGCCCTGCATAAACCATAGACTTTTATTTGAAAGATACATGCAGACAGCTCCATGCTAACAAAAGAGGCACTTCATGTTAGGATCCCCTAGACACGAGTAGGACCCTGGAAGAGACACATGCCCGACTGGCCGATCGTTCGGGAGCTTCAAAAGCTTTCTTCAGCCTGAACATCACAGTGACTGATGCCAAGAAACATCAGCACACTTACGGATCCGCAGAGTATTTCGCACTTGCATAACAGACCTCAGAAACTCAGCATTTTGGCTAATCTACTTTATTTACATATAAACACACACAGAGCACTGCAACATGGCTCCCCCTCTCTCTAGCATCAGACAGCAAAGAGAAAGGACAAAGGAAAATAGTCCCACTTCACGGAACACAGTAACACAAACATCCTGTCTCCGTCACATCCCACTCTGCGGAGTGAAAACATACACTTTCATATGATAGACAACAATCCCATGACTGCAGACACAGAGCAGGAATCTTAACACTTCATACATTCCTAAGTAGCACAGATAGAGGTGATAGTGACCTGTCAGCATGGATGCACTTCAGCTGTAAGCCAGTGGTTCCCAATTACCATATTTTCCGTGTATAATATGAGGTTATTTTTTTTTTTTAATGCTAAAAATTGGGGGTCGTCTTATACACGGGTAGTGGAGAGATTGGACAGGCTGCTGCGAGCAGAAGATTGTCAGTGGTGTTTTTGTGGTTGATTGGGGGGTGCAGCAAGGTCTGCTGGCTATTGGCTGCTGTGGCAATTGGGCGGGCGACTGGTGCTTGCTTTTGGTAGTCCTGCAGACAATTGGTGGCTTTGTCGATTGTATGTATTGGTCCTCCAGGTCAGTGATTTTCGTCCATCTCTCCTCACAAAAAAGCTCAACAACTCTGGGCAATCTCCCCCCATTTTCTCAATTTGGAGTCCCAAAATTTGGAGTCCCAAATTCTCACTAGGTCAATTTTCAGCTTCTAGGTAGCCACTGCAGGAAGCTCTGCTATCACCAGGGACTTTCACAATCAAAGATCTTATTATTCCCGGAAGCCAGAAAAGTTGGTGTCCATCCATTCCCTTCCGCCGACCCATTTGATCCATCCCTCCTTAGCATTTCATTCCACATGAGCTGGATGGCCACCTACTTATTTATAGCTGTTAATGGAATGAACATTTAATTGATATTCATTGTGGGAGCTTTGCTTCTCTAAATTTCCACTGTGAGATACACGCTGCAACTTTTGCTGTCTGCATGTTAATGGAGGAAGCAAGAGGCAACAGGACACAGCCACAAAACTCCCAGCGGCATACCATTCTGTTTTGATGGTGCTCCTTTTCGCTGGACTCGCCAGGGTATTGACAGTGCTCTTCAAGAACAGTCCTGAATCCATCTAGCTGATGGCTAACCATGAGTGTTGTTGCACTCTTGTCCTGCTTTTCTCACAGGCACAGCCACTGGGCCATGACGGTGGGTGTTAGAGTTGTTCCAAATGAAATCCCTAATCTGGCCCTTGTGAAGAATCGCAATGAATTGCTGTCATTAACGGGGCTTCAAAGCTTTACTGGAAACAGTCTTACAATGGTTACAAATAAATGTTACAAGATACAAATTAACACATTGCTCTTAAACAAGTAAGCAATGCAGCACAGTCTTCCTTTTGGTCCTTAAAACAGTCCAAAAACTTTCCCTTCTCTCTGATCCCCCAGAGAG